GAAACGCCGACTGACGTAATCTGCCAGATATGTCTGTTAATTAATTACATTTACTCCGTACGAGGAAGCGCATAAAAGCTCACAAAATCGCGTGAGCAGCTCCACTTATGAACCCGTGTATTCCAAGAATCTCTGCTCTCTTTCAAACCTCGCTTTCATTGCCATCTGCGTTTTATTTTTACACACTCGCCGAGTATTTTTCAACCCAGCAGCGATTTCGCTATTTAACCCCTCGAGCTTCTAATTCTTCCCGATCCTCCTTCCGACAATTCCCTATTATTTCTTTATTTTACAAGAAACGTACGTAAAATGAAATAATTAAGAATATCAAGAGTAGCTCGAAATTCTTTGAAGCACCCGTGAATGAAACTGGCGTGGAATCACGGTTGATATATTGAAAATTCTTAACACAGTGTTAATTTAAAACCGCAAACTTCCGGAAAAGGGTATGAGCAAAATCGAATAGAAAAATTAAACGATCGTAAGAGAACAAAAATTTTCCTGTCCCTGTTTTATATCTCGATCTACAACTTCCTCGAGGTACAACGTCGATCCTTCTACAATTTTCCAATTATTCTTATTAAATAATTGGAACTTTCTAGTGGCGATTTCTATCGAATTATGGAAACTTAGCCGTCGTTTCTACCGAAATCGTTCGTCGTTTAATATCGTCGTTTAATTTCGTTCTCCAGCAAAGTGGCGTGCCACAGTGCGATAGATTCCTAGGGAATTGAACGGCCGCCAGGCCACTTGGAATATCACAGCGATCCATTTCTCGCTCGCCTCTGCAAAAATTCCCTCCCTCAACACCGCTCATTGTTCTCGCCCCTTTGTCCGGGCACCGCGAAACATTTCGTAATTAGTAACAATGCCTGCCGGCTAAACAGAGATTATCGAACGACGGAAACTCCCGGGGGACTTGGGCGGATGAAAGCCAGCCGGCTGGACCAGAAGGAGAAATAAAAAGGGGGCCGAAGAAGATGGATTCCTTTAACGAAGCGAACCTTTAATTGCGAGTCCTCGTAATTGCGGAAATACTCGATGCCGTATTTACGAGCCCGTTTTTACCGATTTCTCGCCAACCTGCCGGGTTTATGGTTGCAGATGGAGCGATAGCGAGTTGCATTCTGCAATATCAAGATTAACAACGATGGAAATTAGATCGTTGCGTTGCGTTACGTTGCCTCACTTGATTTTCTGCTCGAGGCTTATATTCTCTCGAAGAGAAAATTATTTTATAAAATTATTTGGCACGTCAGGATAATAGATATAGTCGTCAAATTTAAAGTACTCGCTATAACCTTGAATGACCTTTAAATATCAAGGTATAATAGATATAGTAGATTAACGAATTCACCCTGAAATGCACGTCTATTTAGCAGAAATTTGTGACCATTGTAAAATGTCTCCCTCGAGCCAGGGTAAGTTTTATTCGAAACAGTGTTTGAACGAACTATAGTTCAGAAAATAATTGAGTAGGAATCTTCAAGTGGGGCATCCTGTATATTAAAGATGACTATAGTTATCCATCAAAACGTCGCATTAACGTACAGCTCTATTGCTAATTCAGTCGACTGGTTCTTTCAATTGGAATTTCATTATTCTGACATTAAAGTTAATCATTTTATAACAGATGTCAGTGCTGATACCTGGCCTCCTAAGATCAATAGAAGCTGAAAAATGCAACTCGACCTGAAGCTAAATAAATAACCAATGCATCGACGACGCTTGGTACCCAAAGACAGCTATAAGCATTATCGAAGAACCAATTCGAGAAATGCGAGGAAAGTCTCCTCCTAAGCTGAGATCTCGTTTGATTTGGAAGTTTTCAAGAGAAACGTAGAAGTAGCTAAAGCGCAGAAGATCGATGGATCGAACTGATAGACTGAGCTTTGAATCTAGGTCTCTCGCTTGTCAGATGATCGCGTTACCAATTGGGCTATTTGAACACGCGATTGAATAAATTCTTCTTCTTTAGGACACTTCGTAGAGACGACACAGAGAACGTAAGAGACCTCCATTCGGCATCGAGTGTATTTCCTATCTCGCACTCTTTTAATAGATCCGCGGAAATAGTCGATTGGTTGGCACTCTTCTTTGCACACCTAGCGGATGTTTGTTCGAAAACCAGAACAGGCACGGATAACGTTCCTTCAGACCACGCGTGTATATTTTTCCTCTTGCTTCTATGCTGAAGGATGTTTGACGTTTAGGGGGATGAACGACACCTGGCCGAGACAAGTGGCGCATAAAGGATCGGAACAAACAGAAGACGTCCCAAACGTGAGATATTGCGATTCTTTTCAGAATTACGGCCAAGGTGTGTCAGAGAAATGACAGACCCACCGCGAACTTTAATACTAGCATCTTCATAAATCACAGGGGAAATGGAACGCGGAGTTGAATCAGCCATAACGGCCACAGTATTTCAAAAACCCCAATGCTTCATGCTATAATATTATTCTACTGATAGAATATACTAACTATATTTATGGAATTCGAAAATTTCCCATTGCTTCGCCAATTAACCCTTTGCAATCAACGACCTTTTCGTTACAGAAAAATAGTAATTCGAAGACTTTATTTTTAAAATGGTAAATGAGAAATCATATGCAAATTAAGACATGGAATTATTTTTCTTCGACATTCTACACATCGTTAGGTAATTTTAAATTTGATATATTAATTAACGTCGATCTTTATCGTCTGACTAAATAGTGACTGAGAGTCACCTCTCGAGTGCAAAGGGTTAAGAATTATTTTAAGAGGATATATTTCGATTATTAGGCAAGAAATTTTTTTTCAAAATTTTACTTGCAGAGCTGCAACCGACTCTTTCATCCGATACCATCCATCGGTTTAACCTCGGGTCCCGAGCAATAATTATAATCCCGAAAACCGTAGTCCCTGATCACGGCCCATGCATCTTGCGGACTGTCCACGAGGTTCGTGCAGGTTCCTGTGACCCTGAAACGGTGCCTCGTGAACCATCGATTCGCCAGCGGGCGTTCAAGGTCAATCGTAGGACCGCCGCGTCCCAGGAGAAAAGCGGTCCGCCATAAATCAGCGGGGTCGCGGGACCTTTGACATCGTTTCGGGATCGCGGGTCTCGCGATCGAGATTCCTCCTCTTCTGCGGTCACCGTGGCGGCCCGTTTCCCCGAATGGCCCCACCCCGTCGCACGGTCCTGTGTCTTCGCAAGAAATCTTCCGTCATAAATCCTGCCGTATCCCCCGTGCGTGTGCTGTACCAGTCCCGCCGGGATATCTCTTCGTCCTTTTTACCTCGCTCGATTTATCGACATTACCTGAACGTCCCAACTTCCCTCCTGTTGACTCGCCACGGTGCTCCGTGCTCTCCAACCACCAAATTTTTGCGACTGGTCACCGTGGAAAATAGCCTACGAGCATCTCCGATGGTACTAGGGTGGACTCACAGCCGCGTGATATCATCGGGGCTGATCGAAATGGTGTTTGCTCGTTTGATTGACGGAATCGACCAAGGGGAGTCCCGTATGGGTGTTCCTAGGTTGGTCCCAGGCCTTTCTTCATTCTGCGTGTTGGTTTACGAGCTGGTGTCAGGGGTTCTTTTTTAATTAGTCGCGTTGAGCGAGATTTATTCTCTTCGGCTTGCGGTGGATAGTTGGAAGGATGCTCGGTACACGTGTTCTACTAGTTATCCGATTATTTAACTAGTCAACGTGACAATATCGTCTCGTTCCTCGTAAAAACGATGATTAAATTTTAGCAAAGTCCAAAGATCCACTCGCATTTGTAAACCATATTCGTCCTTTTCTTTTTCATACTTGAGAGTCTGCTTGTGAGCTCGTCTCGCAACGAATGATCGTGACTCATTGTCAGTCCATGTTAGAGCGTTAATACGCAATAAACACGTGCCCAAACGATTTGTGAGCAATATGTATTAAAATTGACGTTTCGAGGGTAGGTTATACGTAACGTGTTCGGTAGTGTCATGATAAAATATCCGAAAGGAGTCGGATTTCGACTCGCTCGATACCCCCGACATTGAACCCAGTGTCGTCTGTAAATACAATCTTCCGGATCCACGCGTCTGGAACTCTACTGGGTGTGATGCTTCAGCTCCAGTCGCACCCTCGACCCCATCGCATACCGTGACCAGACACATTTTCCAATCTTCGTCCTTGCCCCTCGTACACGCGTATTTCTTCATGAAGAAGATGGGGTCTCGGCCCCTGGTCGGTTTCAATATTTATTTCGACGTCTCGCAGGGACGCGTAGGGTGAAGTGCAGTTTCGCAGGCGAACAAGGGGAGGAAAGAAAAGCACGCGAACGCACCGCACTCGTAACCGCAACCGCAAGCTTTTCGAGCGCTTTCGCATCGGGCTTTTTTCCCTCGAGCTCCCTCGCGACCCAGTAAAACACCCTCGTGTTCCAGTTCCTAGGTGGGGCTCATTTCTCGCGGCCATCCATGTCCCCATCCTCGAACGTTTAACCGATTCTATCGAATTTCCGATTTTCGCAATCGGATTTCGCGGTAATTCGTTTAGAAGATGTTTCAGATTCTTAAAATAACAACGGGGTGAAAAATTAATACGACAGACAGTGCGTTAAATTTTTCATTGGTGCTATTTATACCCGAATTGACAGGTAAAATGGGGCGAATTATTTATTAACTCGAATTTCGACTTAGTTCGTTGACTTCGTTGGATTTTATTTAATACCTAGAATATCTTAACACCTTTAAAATATCTAAATTGTCAATAACACACAGGATCACCGATCCAAAGAATTACCATTTGGAAGATAGGTAACACTTGTCATCCTTATCATCCTGATACCAGTACATTAGTCATACGAGCTTATAAAAATCGGTGCGAATTTTTCTCACACTTCTGAATTTCGTAATATCATCTAGACTTTCGCAGCGAAACGGGGGAAGAAAAATTCTCAAGGTTGGAAATTAATTCCGTGCGATTTATTCACGCTGTCCCGTGTTTCTTTGTCCAGGAATGAAGGCGAAGGACTTCAGAGCGGAGCAGTGCGCCGAATTCAACAGCATACCGTTCGAGGGAATTTACTACGAGTGAGTATCGAGAACGGTCCCAGTGACGCGTACTGTCAGCGCATCGCTGCAAATCGTTTTGGAATCCCGATGGAGTTGCTGGATACGCGGCGAATGTGATTTATCGTCGACGTCATATTCGACAGGGGAGGGTCGTGGCCTTTTCGCCGATCTCCGGCGAGATCTAATGGTCGTTCGAAGTTGAAATCCATGCTCGTTCGAACCCGCGTTCGAATTTCACGTCACCGAGACGTGTAGACGATGGAACGCGAATTGTTTCGCGAAAAGCGCTTTTTCACGGCGGGGAAATATTCCGTCGATATTTAACGGAATATTATCTCCACAGAAGGAGACATGGTTTTTCATTTTTCGAAAAATAATACGGCGGAAAGATCGTGGGATTTTTTGGCTCCAAATATTTTTACGCGAATCGAGTATATCGGCCATAAATTTTGCGAAGATTCGAACGTTCCATACGCTCGTGTACTCCTATTTCGTGGTTGAAGCGTTCGTTCCAGAGCTACTTTTTCTCATAAACGCGCGTTAATTTTAGAATGGTCCTTCCGAAGGCAATCGCAATAAAAGCGTACGTGATCTGATGGCAAAAATTGAAGGTGACCCGTTTCTCTAAGCACGACACTGAACTGACGTCATGCCTTTGCGTTTACTCCAGAGACTATAAAAAGTGATTGCGTAATTCGCCCACGAGCAAGTTGCCCAAATTTCAATCTTCCATTAGCTGGATCGTTCCACGGATAGAAATTTTTCCAACTGCCTATCGAAAAAATAAAATTTGCGTTCAACTATGCAAGAAAACTATATAGAGCATAGAATTGTAGCCTGTAAATATATTTAAATACATCTATGAAAAGGATCCCAAATATAGGTAACCCTCCTATAACACGGTAGATAGGTTCCTAGAAAATGCCGTGTTATGTGAAACCGTGTTGTATGAGACCCAGAGTCAGTAAAAAAGGTTACGTTTCGAAAACTTATTAAAAACAAATTTTTTTCTTAATTCTACATAAACAACTTAATTTTCATTGAAAATATAAACGTATGTACGACACAAAACAAAAGAAATGCAAAAATATTATTTTAATTTAACGCAACTTTGATTTAATAAATTTCTTCGTCGTCACTGCTTATGTAGAAGTACAGTGTTGTACAAAGGTTTTTGCAATTTTCTTATCGCGTTAGAGCGAAACCGTGTCATAGGATGTGTTGTAGGTGGGTTTCCGCAATTTATGAATCGTGTTATAGGATACCGTGTTGTAGGAGTACCTACCTGTACTTAGTTTACCCAGCATCAGTTTTAAACGAGCGTGTCTTTATGTGCCTCCGTAGAGTGAAGCATACAAAAAGAAATTGCAATACCACGAACAAATACGTGCTAAAAAGTCGATTCGAGTAACGTCATTGACATCCTCTTACGCAATGCAAACAATCCTGGTAAGAGCGATGGAAGGTTGAAAAAGGGCGGGAAACGCAGCGTCTAATCGCGTCAGGTGGATGCTTAAAAAGCTGGCAGCTGCTTTGAAAGAGGAGAGCAGCCAGTTATCGAGAAGATCGATGGCGATCGCCGGATCTTCGCGCCATAAAACGGCCAACGGCGAGACTAATCGCGCAAAATCGTTCGCAGTTGGATCCCGTACACCGGCGGGCCGAACAAGTGCGATTTGAATTGCATGCCGCGCGGCGAGCGTTTCTTCTACAAGCACAGGCAGATGGTGATCGACGGGACGCCATGCGAGGCCGAGAAGAACGACGTCTGTGTCGGAGGCAAATGCATGGTGAGTTAACGATCCCCGATTCACCGCGACGGGACCAACGCGAATTCATTTCCGTTCGGGCCCGTCTCGTTTTGTCGCGAGACAATCGGGGGACGGGAAAGCTTGTGATCCTGTTAGAGCAACTCGACGATACCGATCGACGCGTCAGCGTGTAATTCCTCTTTGATTGCCAGCACGTCGGATGCGACATGATGCTTGGAAGCGACGTGAAGGAGGATGCGTGCCGGGAATGCGGCGGCGATGGCTCCGACTGCAACACCGTTTCCAGTTTGTTCGACACCGACGATCTTCAACGGGGTAAGCCGAGGAATCTCTTTATCTCGATTTCTTCCTTTTCTTCGCCGGTTCCCGCACGATCAAGGCTGCGACCGAGAGATGAATGAGAAGCTGCGGCAATCGGCGAGGAGAGCAGTCAGCACAGAGTTTGCTGAAGATTCTCTTAGGACATTTCCTTTGTTTTTTAACCCCTCGTGAACGGAGGTGTCGAGGAAAGAGATATATCGAGAGATAAATTGCGAATTAATTAATTAAGGGGTACTATGCATATTATATACTCGATTGTCAAGCGTCGATGACTCGATAATCGTGGATGAACCATCGATATTTTTAGGGATGGTTCAACTCTTTGGGACACGATGTGATTAACCCTTTGCACTCGAGAGGTAACTCTCAGTCACCATTTAATCAGATTCTAAAGATCGACGTTAATATATCAAATTTAAAATTACTTAACGATGTGTGGAATGTGGAAGAGAAATAATTCTATGTCTTAATTCTACTCTATATGACAGAAAGTCTTCGAATTACTATTTTTCTGTAACGAAAAAGTCGTCGAGTGCAAGGGGTTAAAAGTGCCCCACATTTTCGATGCATTGTAATGCATGGTGCAATATAGGTTTATTTTATTATGTGAAATTCTGTTAGAAAAAGTTGACCCTTTGACTGCCACGCCGAAATCACATGTCTCGCTCAGGACGCCATGGGAGTGTACCCCTAAATGCAAGATTTGTTCTAATATTTTTTTGATCCATGTTCTAATACAAATTTGTAATTATTCAATAGGGCACTTTTTATTTCAAAGTATCTTCTAATTAGCGGTTATATTCAAATTGCACTGTCAATTTTAAGATGCAAGATTTGTTCTAATATTTTTTTGATCCATGTTCTAATACAAATTTGTAATTATTCAATGGGGCACTTTTTATTTCAAAGTATCTTCTAATTAGCGGTTATATTCAAATTGCACTGTCAATTTTCGTTCAATTTTTACAATTGTAATTTTACAAGTAGTTCAAATGATTATCTTGGCGTCACAGGAGAAACTGTGGCCGGTCATATATAACTAACGTGGCAGTCAAAGTGTTAAGAAATATTATAGGAATTAAATTGGAACACTTGCAGATAGCGATTATAGCGAATAATATGCTAGAATATCGCGAGATTTATGGTAATTGTATTTTTCCTCGAATTTTCCTCAGGATACGTCGATATCATATTGATACCCAAGGGAGCAACGAACGTGGTGGTAAAGGAGATCGAGGCGTCGAACAATTATTTAGGTGAGTGAATCTAAATATCACGATTTTCGTTCTAACGGGGAAAATTAAGAGTTGATAAAGCATCGTTCGTTGTTGACGTTTTAACTGGTTTCATACCGGCAGCTATTAGAAACACTTCGGGGCACTATTATCTAAATGGAAACTGGAGGATAGATTTTCCGCGAAGCCTGAAATTCGCCGGGACCATATTCCATTATTCGAGAGATCCGCAAGGTTTCGCGGCACCCGATACCATTACCACCTTGGGGCCGACGAGTGAACCAATTTACGTGGTGGTAAGTGGCTGCATCGCTCTTAAATAGCGAATTACACCGTCATATAGTCGAAAAGATTCGCTTCCCTTCGTTGAAACAAGTAAAACGAGTAGAACGAGTGGAACGACTAAATGGTAAAATGCTCCTTAATTCCAGCTTCTCTGCGCAAAATTAACTCATTTCGCTAAGAGTACGAGATTTAATTAAACAGACGTAATCACAGAGACAAATTATCCGAGTAAAATTATCAGTCAAATGGGACCAGTCCTAAAAATTAAAAAATAATTCCGACAGAGGAAAGAATTAATTGCTAGCTATTATTTAGCCAAATTATTAATTAATAAATTATCTAGCTAAAATTATGAAATAATTCCAACAAAGGAAGGAAATAATTGCTAGGAAAAAATAATTTGTCTCTCGATTATGCAATTTCTGTGCCACATTTCCTAACTTGAAAATCAATTAGGAGAAAGTTAACCGAATGCCAGTCGAGCGAGGAGAGTTTAGAGGGAAGCTTAATACTTTTTATCGACGATCAAGCGAGAAGAGGGATAATTCTTTTAACGCAATGTTCAACAGCTTCTCTATCAAGAGCATAACGTCGGGGTGCACTACGAGTACAGCATACAGAAGAAATTCTCTCAGCAAACAGGCGCGGATAGCTACACGTGGATAACCGAAGAATTTTCCAGCTGCAGTGCGACTTGCGGCGGAGGTAATATTTCGAAAATTAATACCTAAGTACACGGCGAACGTGATCGATAATCGGATAGCCTGGGCAGCCAGTGCGCCGAAGGACTCCATCGGTTCTAAATTTGATAGAGCAATTTACGAGCGGACGGATGCTAGGGTTTGATGAACGTTTATTAATTAATATGCTTTCCATTTAGCCTCCGTGAAACAGATCATTCCGTGTCTTTCGCGCGTTGAATTATCGGACAGGTGGATCGGCCGTTAGGGGTGAAAGTTGTCCGTGTTCCCTGCATTCGAAAGCAGATCCTCCTTCCCGTTTCTGAAATGGAATTTATTCCAGCCCGTTCACTGGAACTCGCGCTTCATCGTTCCACGAAACGTAGAATTTATTTCATTTTTCTCCCCTATGCTCGCGTTGTAATCCATCGGTGAAGCTGTAAACGATTTTAATCGTAATTTTCGGGTATCGTGCATTTTATAGCGACCAAAATTTCTGTAAAATTTCGTTCGTTACGGTATCGACGTGTCTAATACAGTGAAAAATTTGTCAACGCGAGGAAATGTTTTGTCAAAGGTTATCAATCGAGACGAGTGGCCTGCGTTCGAAGAAGAGATAACCAACCGGTGGATGAGAGCCTTTGCAACCCGGAGTTGGAACCAGCTGACACACAAGCTTGTAACCAGGACCCGTGTCCACCTGTGTGGGTGGAAAGCGAGTGGGGCCCTTGTAGCAAGGACTGCGGCGAAGGAGGTGAGCAGACCAGAGAGATCAAATGCGAGCAGGTCATCTCCGGCGGAATCCCCACGGTGGTGGACGACAGTCAGTGTCTGGAGAAGGTGGGACCAAAAGGGCCCACCAGCCAGGAGTGTAACAGGAAATTGGTGTGCCCGCAATTCCACGTAGGACCATGGAAACCGGTACGAATTCCTTACCCCGAAACAAGTACTCATCTTGCAAATTTGAAAGGGAATACGTTAATTTAATCAGTTATTTAAGAATGAAGTTTGAAAAATTATCTAGATCTAGATTTCCATTTATTTCCGACGGAGAAATGATTTTAAATCCGAAAAGAAAGCGATTATAAGATTTCGCGTTAGGGTATTCGAAGTTGACCGGAATTTTATGGAGATGTCTGTTTTATTGTTGCACAGTGCGACCGTTTGTGCGGTCCAGGGAAGCAGGTGAGAAAAGTGACGTGTTACAAGAAGATAAACGGCAGGATCCAAGTGCTGGAGGACAAGGCTTGCGAGGGAGAGGTTCCCGAGCGTGAGAAACCATGCGAATTGAGACCTTGCGCGGGCCTCGACTGGGTCACGTCGGATTGGAGTGGTGTAAGCTCGCAATTTTTCACGCGATACCACCCAAAAGCACTCGTGCCTATTCCATTTCGAATATTCCCACCGCGGAAAGTAGAAGCTTCTGATAGAAATATTTCGGCAAGCAATATTACAAGAGCACGTACTTAAATGAAAAGTGTCCCATTTCTTCCCGGACGGTTCTTCGAGATTACTGCCTGACTCTGGTCACTTTTCCCCAGTGCGACGAGAAATGTGGGCTGACTCAAGAGACCAGGACCACTCGCTGCGCCACTCAAGATGGGACCGTTTATCCGGACGAGAAATGCGACGCGACGAAGAAGCCGGAATTGACGCGGGACTGCGAGAGCAAGAAGGAGTGCGAGTTCTTGTGGTTCGCTTCTCAGTGGAGCGACGTAAGTTAATTACATATCTTCTCGGAACCTTGTCGACAGTTGTGACATTTTGCCGATGTAATTTTAACACGCGTCACACGCCATTCTCCACTGTCCCGAATTTAACGAGATTGTAAATTCTTACGCACGCGATACGTCGCCAAGTGGTGGCTCTTATCGGTCTAACGAGGTCAGACTCGTTGATTTATTCCAAGGGATGAAGAAACGGGGACGAGAGTTTAATCATACGGGACATTATCGCCAGACTTCGTACTAAACCTTAATCGCGTTAATTTATAAAGTTATGGAACACTTGTGCGAAAAAATCCCGTTTGTAGTCCAAGTCACGATCGGCTTAACGATTATTTTGGGCCCTCAGTGTTCGGCGGACTGTGGGTCAGGTGTGCAGAGCCGCAAGGTGTTCTGCGGCACTTTCGACGACGAAACGATGAAGAAAGTATCTGACGAAAACTGCGATCCGAAGAAGAGGATGAACGAGACGAAGGTCTGCACCGCCGAAGAGGAGTGCAAAGGCGAATGGTTCGCTGGACCATGGAGCAAGGTAAGCGATATTTCAAGTAATCGAGAACGATTTCCCACAAATAATGACGATCGAAGATAAATTCTTCGAAATTTTCAAAGGTTTTTCTTTCGAGCTATTTCGTAGAACCTAATTTCGCAGCTTCTTCCTTCGTTTCCTCGTTGAACAGTCGAAGATTTCGATTTGCGATTGATTTTCTTAGAAAATCTGCCCTTGCTGCGTGAGGTATTCGCGAGAAATGCACCGCGTCGTGTTCCCTTGGTCGCCGAAGAAATCCAATATCTTCGACGGCTTTGTAGCGAGCCTAACAAGAAGCGTCCGCCTCAAATTTCTTCCATTAATCACCTTATCGTGTTCCAGTGCTCGAAACCGTGCGGCAGTGGCACGATGGACCGCAAGGTGATTTGCATGAAGGACAACATGGTGTCGAGCAACTGCGGCCCCGACAAGATCATATTCTCCTTTGAACACTGCAACGACCAACCGTGCGAGGAGGGTACGTTTCAAGTCCAAGGAAATTGACTTGCGTTCGATTAAATTCAATTTCCTTCTATCTTTTCGTAATTTACTACGCAAAGTAAGAGAAAGTTAGCACAAATTGGTACGAGAAATCATTCTCGAAGTGGATTACTTCGTTGAATCATTTAGCTTCCGTTCATCCTGACGAGCTGCGATATTTATCGGTAAAAATACACGGAACTCTCGATCTTGATCCAGACCTTGTTTTCAGACCAGGTAATTCCAATGGAGCCGGACAAAATCAAAGATCTCACCGATGAGGACGAAGAATGCGAGGTATACGAGGACGAGGACTTCGTGACTGTCTCCTCCAGTCTCTCCAGCGTTAGTAAAACTTGGTTATAGTCCGAATTCCTTCCGAATTTAAATTCTTGTTGACATATTACGGAAGAATCACTGTCTAAAAATTTATTTTTCTAATCTTCCAACTGGAATCGATACAATTTCGTTCAATAGGATAAATCGAATAAGATGGCAGACCTTACCGAGGCAACTCCCCTCAGTTCACCAGACACTGGTGATACCTCTGTTAGCGACGCATATGACGGAATGTTAGGAGATGCCGGGTACACCAGGGGCGATATACCTCCTACAGAAACCGGAAGCGGTGAAGGAAGTGGCACAGACTTTACCGATTCGTTCATGTACACGTACTCGTCAGGATTCGAGACGTCGTTCGAGGGCAGTGGGACTGGCGAAACTGGGAAAGATGACGACTTGTTCACTACGGTGTCTGGAATCACGGAATCTGACATTACCGAAGAGACAGTCGAGGGATCCACCTCGGGTTCCACCGACGAGTCGACTTCTGAAACGGAGGAAACTCCGGCGTCTGGTGGTAAATTGACGAGATTCTAATTCTAAAATTATTTCACGGATAATTTTGCTACGTTTTATGATTATTTCGAATTATCCAGAAACAAACATGACAACCGAATCCGGAGCAACCGAGGAAACGACGAGCGAATCGACCGATCAGAGTTCCGAGTCCACAGTTTCTTTTGAGACGGAAGGTACCACTGTTTCGTCATTGACGGAATCTACGGAGCCAGCAGCTACTGGATTGACAGAATCTACCGAATCAGGTGCAACAGCGGAAACAGAGAGCACTGTCACTGAAGCGGATGTGAAAGGCGAACCTTGGGAGGAATCAGATGAATTAGTCACGGAGACCACAGAATCAGGTGCCACTGAAGAAACCACTGAGTCAGGACCTACAGAATCAACCATATCCACGGAATCAGGAGCTACAGAGGAATCTACAGAATCTGGAGCTACAGAAGAATCCACAGAATCTGGAGCTACGACAGAATCTGGAGGCACAACTGAGTCCGGAGCTACGACAGAGTCCGGAGCTACGACGGAGCCTGGTGCTACGACAGAATCTGGAGCCACGACAGAGTCCGGAGCTACGACAGAGCCTGGAGCTACGACAGAGCCTGGAGCTACGACAGAGCCTGGAGCCACGACAGAGCCTGGAGCTACGACAGAGCCTGGAGCTACGACAGAATCCGGAGCCACGACAGAGCCTGGAGCCACGACAGAGCCTGGAGCTACGACAGAACCTGGAGCCACGACAGAGTCTGGAGCTACGACAGAACCTGGAGCCACGACAGAGCCTGGAGCCACGACAGAGTCCGGAGCTACGACAGAGCCTGAAGTGATCGGAACAACGGAAGTCACTGAAACAACGGAATCTGGAGCGACGACAGAAGCTGGACTAACAGAAACTGGAGCTACGACAGAATCTGGAGCTACAACAGAATCAGTAGCGACGGAAATGACCGAATCAACAAAGTCAGGAGCAACTACCGAGGCCACGGAATCTGCTCTGATCGAAACTACCGAATCAGGTATGACCACCGAGTCTGGTGTAACTACCGAGTCAGGTATGACTACCGAATCTGGTATGACTACCGAATCTGGTATGACTACCGAGTCAGGAATGACTACCGAATCTGGTATGACTACCGAATCTGGCATGACTACCGAATCTGGTATGACTACCGAATCTGGCATGACTACCGAATCTGGCATGACCACGGAATCCGGCGAAACAACAACCGAGGCAACCACGGTTTCCGGTGAAACCACTGAATCTGGTGCCACCACCGAGTCAGGAGAAACTACGGAGTCTGGTGCAACAACAGAGAGCAGTGAAACCTCTGTGTCTGAAGTGACCGAGACGACAGTATCTGGATTAACACCATCGACTGACGAGGAGGAGACTGAAATGACCGAGAAAACTCACAGTAAATTATTTCAGTCGATTGATACCTCAGCTGATTCACTAACAGATCACGAAATTATACTTAACTTTTCCGTTCCAGTATCCGAATTCTGGACGACTATCGGCCCAGACGAAGAAACCGCATCGCGCAAACCTCGCATTTGCAAAATTCCTAGGAAGAAGACCTGCAAGACCTCGATCTACGGTTGTTGCTACGATGGAGTCACTATGGCACAAGGACCATTCGGCCAAGGCTGTCCCATTGCACAGACCTGTAACGATACCAAATACGGTTGCTGCGACGACGGAGTATCCCCAGCCACTGGTCCAGAGAATCAGGGCTGTCCCGAATCGAACTGCGATGAAACGCTATTCGGTTGCTGCCCCGACGGAGTTACTATTTCCGAAGGCAACGATTTTGAGGGCTGCAAGAAACCTTGCAACGAGACTGAGTTAGTTTCAACAAATTTCGTTTTCCATCCAGGCAAATATTTAAATGTTCAATAAATATTCTACCCTAATGTTTAACAAATATTCCAGATTTGGATGTTGCCCTGATAACGAGACTCCAGCCAGTGGAGAAGATAATTTGGGATGCTGCAATGTTACCGAATTCGGTTGCTGTCCTGATGGAATGAAATCCGCTGCTGGACCGGACGGAGAAGGTACAGTATCACCATCTCATTTTTGCTAGCTACGATTAAGAATCTACCATAATCGCGCAATAGTACTTAGAGGTTTGGTTCATATAATGGTTACAGGTTGCGAGGAGATTACTTCTGTCACTCCCACGACGGAAGAATACGAGACAACTACTGTACAGGAAGTTTGCACGAATACTACCTACGGATGTTGTCCAGACGGTGTCTCGTTCGCGACTGGTTTGAACTTCGAGGGCTGTGGTGTAATCAACGCAGACAATTGCACCGTGTCGTACTTCGGATGCTGTCCAGACAACACTTCCCCAGGTTAGTCACAAAACAGTATACAATCTCTACATTTACGGAAATTAATCCCTTCGTCTAGAACATCGTGCGAGACTCGTGGTAAGAAAATTGGGCCAAACACGAGTGTCACGGGTGAAAGACATGATTTATAGATAGGGCCCAATATAAGTAATACGGGTCGGATAAAATGGCGTGATTGATTGTATCGTTAATTATGGCTCATGCCATCGGAATTTAAATCGTAAGCCAAGGTATTCGATTCCTTCAAATTACATACATTTGTTATCAGAATTTCGAAATTAATCATCGGCCGATTATTGCGTATCAAAGTACTTTTATTTCATACTCGAATAACTCGAAAAATCACACAGCCCTTGGGCCCAACTACCTTGGCTGCTATATGGCCTGCGAGAACAGCACCTACGGCTGCTGCGAGGACGGTGTCACCCCAGCTCACGGTCCAAATAGAGAGGGTTGCTGCCTGTCGACACCGTACAAGTGCTGCCCAGACAACATACTCCCAGCCCGTGGGCCAGACTTTTATGGTTGTGGATGCCAGTACACGAGATTCGGCTGTTGCCCTGACAATAGCACTGCTGCTCGCGGACCGAACAGCGAGGGTTGCGGTTGCAAGTACACGCCTCACGGCTGTTGCCCTAACCGCTTCACCCCGGCCACAGGACCGAATTACGATGGCTGTCCGTGTTATACGTACCAGTTCGGATGCTGCCCTGATGGTGTCACTATCGCCAAAGGACCTCGCGGATTAGGTAATCGCACAGAAGTGAAATCTCACTAATTCTGGTATAAAACATCATCAATGCAATAATCATAGTAGTTAATCGCAGAACTCCTGTCTATCTTCCGACGATATTACACGGGATACTCCTTATCATTCTTATCTTAATCACGCGAAGACTGCATCGAATGTAAGGAGCAGAGAAAAATTCGTAGCAACCCGTCTCGTGACTAAATTCTCAGGTTGCGGTTGCGAGAATACCGAATTCAAGTGCTGCTCCGACGGAAAAACGCCGGCTAAGGGTGCAAACTACGCTGGCTGCACTTGCGACGCCTCGAAGTACGGATGTTGTCCCGACGGGCAAGAGGAAGCTCAAGGGGAGAACTTCGAGGGCTGTCTGTCGGTTCCAGTTTCCCTTGGCTCGGCTTGTGCGTTGAAGAGGGACAGAGGACCCTGCCGAGACTTTACCGTCAACTGGTACTTCGACACGGAGTATGGTGGTTGCTCGCGATTCTGGTACGGAGGCTGCGAGGGTAACAACAATCGATTCAAGACTCAAGGAGAATGCAAAGACGTGTGCGTGCAGCCTAAAGGAAAAGGTAAATTGAACCTAGTATAAATATTTTTGGAGAATTTTTCAAAAATATTTGAGCGGTTTAAGGGATGATTTAAAGTTTCCTTGTCTTCCAGATTTCAGATTTTCATTAAATCCTGTGACAAATTTCATCATTTTTTATTTCTTTTATAACCTGTAGGAGACACAAATTTTATCGAAGATATTGGAGATTAAGAAACTAATTTTTCCGACAACTTTGCAGATGTCTGCTTCCTACCAAGGATCTCCGGACCCTGCGAGGGCTATTTCCCTAAAGAAGAGTGCGAGGAACTCTGTGTCTCTACCGATCTGGGTAAGTTGGTCTTAAAAACCATGCAGCTGATGTCTCCTCCCGTGGATCGTGTTGATAAATCCACCTAATTCTCTACAAAAATTACACTCGCGAAATAACGAGTCAGGAAATAACTTGTAAAGGTGTTTAATCCGCGTCTTCGATTTTTCTATTCGTTAAGATGCTTGCGAGCAGCCGAAAGAGGCAGGTCCATGCGAAGGCAACTTCACCAGATGGTTCTACAACGCGGAATTGCAAGCCTGCGAGCAATTCCGGTACGGCGGGTGCAAAGGAAACGATAACAACTTTGCAACGGAAATCGCTTGTCACCAGCAATGCTTGCAGCCAGGAAGAAGAGGTACGTTCATCCAGCGTGATTCCTTTGATTCTACATCCGCACGTATCACGCTCGTTCTACTGCCTGAACTCATATATTTTATTAGACGTCCCTCCACTAGATACGTTTTCAAAGTGTTACATATTTTCCCGTATTTTTTTTCATTTTATCACGATTGTTTTTTATTTTAATTTCATCGGACGAATTTTTCTCAACGATTTTTTCCCTTCGATTAAGAAAGGAACGGAAACACATGTAACGACGTGAATACCGTGACGAGATTCATTGGTATCATTTATCCGAAAGGATATCGAGAGAGTTGAAGCATCGTAGAATTCGTCTCGACGAACAGAAGAATCGGTTCACGAATTGCAATGATTTTTTAATCAAAAATAACGAAGAAACTGGAAAGTGGAACCGAGATTCCTGAACCAAAATCGCCAGGAAATTAGATCAAGTTTGGCCTAAAATTTCACCCCGGTACACGAATCAGTACTCTCGTTAATCGATTCAGATCTGTGCTCTCTAATCCCGGCTCAGAGACTTAGTTACTCATCCGAATATCACATTGAACCACGAAATCGAATCGAATTCTCACTTTCAACCACACCAAACACGATATCAGCAAACACTCAGGCACCACACGCCACATTCAAGCACCAATTGGCACCTATCATCGTCGAGCGTCGAGACCTCATAGTAATCCGTGCAAATACATATTTCCAGTAAAACTGACAGACGTGTGCCGCCTGGAGAAAGATCCCGGTCCTTGTCCGGGCTCTGTGTTGCGCTGGTATTATGACGCCGGGCGTCAGACGTGTAGCCAATTTGTTTACGGCGGTTGTAAAGGCAATGCCAATAGATTCCGTTCTCGTGCTGCCTGTGAGCAGCGCTGCCCCGTAAAAGGTATCAGAAAAAGCAAAAAGAAAGCGAAAAAAAAAAAAAAGTAGAAAACGCAGAAGGAAGAGAGAGGAAGGTTGATCGAGCAGGAGAATATAGCGCGGAGAGGAAAAGAGATGGAGGAACAAGCTTGTCTGCTTCTTGAATAACAGCAATTCAGTAGAAAGGGAGTCGTTTCTCGTTATTGGGTGTCGATGGGGCTGTTTGTGCTTTCGAGAGACAATTCTCGATGTTATTGGTGTTGGTTCGTCTGTTGCCCCTGTTCGTCCTCGCAAAGCACGTCTAACGAGAGAGCTACGAGTCTAATGGATCATCTGTTTCTGTCTTAACCACTGATCGTAATCGATCGCTCCTATCATCACTGTGCACAGAAAGAGCACCCCTTTTTCTTCGAGTTGCACGCGATATCACGCTGTCGCACCGCTGATCGAACAGGTGATTCGACTTTGTCGAGGTTCTGGCCTCGAGGACGATCGTTCGATCACCTTTGCCTGGCCTGTAACGAGCTCTCTCGATGCACAAGTGCGATTTCGTTCATTGCTGTTCGTTGAATGATCGCGTCGATACGGAATTTCGAGGAGAAATATCGTTTAAACATCGATTAATTTGTTTAAGCTTGATTTGACCAATTGACCGATTTTTCATTTTTCTTATAATTTTTTCACCTTCACTGCCTTCCTGTTTTTAGTTAATCAGGGTAAAGAACAGAGCAGTGTCTCGAAATTCGACGCGAGCATTCGATACCGTTTCAGAAGTCGATTTGCTTCGGTGAGGGGAGAAATGGAATCGGTGTCTGCGAGAAGTAACTCATACATTTTCAGGAATTGAGGAAATATATTCGCTTCTAAGGATGCGAGAGTCATGATAAATTAACCGTTTGCGAATTATTCAACCCTTTTTCTCGTTAATAATAAACGAAACAGACATTGAAATACGTGAAATAGACACCGGTAAAAATTTCAAGTGATTAAATTTAATTTAATTTTTAATTAACCTTAATTAAGAATTCTAATATTTGTCATCGATTTGATGGTGAAATAAAAGGATTCGTAAATCGCAGACGGTCAATATTACTCGAGAATCTAATTCTGCATGGTGTAATAATTAATGCGATTAACAGATAGTTGCTTGCTGCCTCGAGCGGAAGGTAACTGTGGTGAGAAGCAATCTCGATGGTACTTCGATCAGTCGGAGAACCGGTGCATGCCATTCTACTATACTGGTTGCGGTGGGAATAAAAATAATTTTGAATCTAGGGATGCATGCGAGTCTGATTGCCCTGCTAAGATTGGTAAGATTTCGCCTAATCACTTTCTCGAAACGAAACTCTTCGTTTCGTTCGCTTTCCCACGAATCTCTTTCAAAGTTAATCTCGGTCAAAGTAAATCGTTGCTTACGAATCATTAACACTTTCTATGGCAATTTGAGTTGTCGTCGTTCCTTGTCTGTGTAGTCGTTTCCGATGTCAATTGTACCGTATGCACGCAAATCTGCTCTGCGAACTCTACTCTAACGCGTGTTCCTTCTAAAGAGAAACATGTTCTTAGTATACGTGTATCACGTAAATTTGCAATCAGTTTATACATGTCCTATGTTGCTTTATTTGTCAGAGAATGTGGGGTACAAAGTTCCACGAGTCTCGAGAGAAATTGAATTTTGGAAATTGGGAAATGTTTTAAATGATGGAAAAAGAAAACGCGAGAAAGACAGGAAAATAGAGATAAATTTCATTCGTGGAACTTTTTATCTCGCAAACGATGATAAGAGACATGTCCTCATATCATCATTGCTCAAACGCAGAGCAAGACACCTGTCTCTTGCCCGCGCATATGGGAGAATGCCACAACTATACCCAACGATGGTATTACGACTCGTACGAGCAACAGTGTAGACAGTTCTACTATGGTGGTTGCGGTGGGAACGAAAACAATTTCGTCTCGGAACAGGACTGCTTTAGCAGGTGTCAGACTACCATCACCACCGCTGCGCCGTCGAAAGAGGTCGAATTTAAACCAGGTAAGTAATGTCTTTCAACCTACCATTTGATATCGTGAAACGTAAAATTCAAAGCTACCTAAAACTTTACAGACTTCTGCTTCCTTCCGGACGAGCATGGTCCCTGCTCCGAGGAACAAGTTAAATGGTTCTACGACAGCAGAGAGGGCATCTGCAAGCAATTCAGGTACGGCGGCTGTCACAGCAACGGGAACAACTTCAACAGTCGCGAGGAGTGCGAGTATCGATGCGAGGACGTGCAAGGTTTGTAACCAATTTAAAGATTGTGTAAATTTACATTCGTAATTTTCAGAAAAGATCACTCGACTGTTCTTCTGTCCTCTTCAGACCCTTGCAGCCTACCCAAAGTCATCGGTCCCTGCAATGGCTTCGTCAAGCAGTACTACTATGATCATCGAACGGATTCTTGCTCAGAATTCGAGTACAGCGGTTGCCAAGGTAACAAGAATCGCTTCCAGGATAGAGAGTCCTGCGAGAGGAAGTGTCAGAAACAACCACCAACGCAGGCAACTCCAAATGTCACCGTCACACCCGCACCTCCGGTCGAGACTGTCTCGAAGAGTCCGATTTGCTACATGTCGTTTGATCCTGGCACTTGCAACGGTGATCGTACCGCTTTCTACTACGACTCGGCTAATCAGATGTGTCAGGCATTCATCTATGGTGGTTGCGAAGGAAACGCCAACAGATTCCAAACGGAGGAACAGTGCGAACGACTCTGCGGAAAGTTCCATGGACAAGGTTCCAATCTTTTAATTTACCTAGCGAGCCATACCTTTGTAAATGCATTTTTCATAGTATCTTCGCTTTTGTTTCGATATTCTTTAGGCTTGTAAAAAATATCGCGGTTCAAAACTCGGCGACATTAGAGGAAAATATTTCATTTCGGTGAAGAATTTTGTTCTCGAGGAATGCAATCTTCCTTTGCAGATATATGCAACCTACCGGTGAATGCTGGCGAGTGCAGAGGTGACTTCAGGAAGTACTATTACGACTCGGTCACTCGCATTTGCCGCGAATTTTCATACGGTGGATGCGAGGGCAATGCGAACAGATTCAGCTCGATGGTAGAGTGCGAATCCATTTGCATACATCACGAAGAACCCGTCTCCGGAAACGACACCAGCTTCTCGAGCTTGTGTAAGTAGCTCTATTCGTTGCTCGCGTAACCTGATTAGATTCGCGGGGGGAAATGTGGAAGAGAGCTCGAAAAGAATTTGTCGCAATTTTCTCCGAATATTATTGTATACGCGGGAATTCTTTTCGAGAAGAATGCAATTAGCTCGAGATAACAATAACGAGTTTTGAACGATGATGATTCAGCGGTTTGTAAAGAACCGGTCGACAGTGGATCTTGCACTTCCGGTTCGTCCAAGCGGTACTACTTCGACGAGCAAGAGCAAACCTGTCGTACGTTCGTGTACACTGGATGCGGTGGCAATCGTAACAGATTCAAGACCTTCGAGTCTTGCATTAGCACTTGTCTCAGCAGTAAGTCGTGAAAACGTGTTCCACAGCGTCCGAATATATACCTTTTTACCCGTTCAGATTTTCAGCTTCGAACGTGGTGAACGCCTTTACGTGTTACACTGTTGTACATTATATTTTCGTCGTTGTTTCGTATCTATATCTTTTCAAATCTCCATGCACCTATTCCAAACATCCCTCTTCCTTTTATGTACAAAAATTCTGCTTTTCTCTCCCTCGTATTTATAATTCTTCGATTATTTATCTTGTCAGCTTTAATCGTTTCCAAGCTTCGAGACCCTGCTGAAGAGCAAAAATGTAATATTGCTTTTGTCCTGATACTTATATTTTTATTATTATCTTTTATTCTTTTTATTGTCTTATTTCGATATTTTTCGTATCTCTGTCTGTTCGTTTCCAGAACGAATATATCCTTCTTCGTTCTAATTGCGACGAATTTTTCAACAGCTACTAACGAGATCGACGTAGACTCTGGAGCGAACGCGAAAGATCCTTGCGTGGAAACTCGCAAAGAATGCAGCACCATTCGTTGTCCTTATGGCAAGGAAGCGTTCGTGGACTCCCAGGACTGCGAGCGATGCCGTTGCGTGGATCCATGCAGGACTCAGGTTTGTCCGGATGACACCAAGTGCGCCATCACCCTCGTCGCTACTAAGGATGGCACGGAGTACAAGGGAATTTGCAGATCAGGTAACCACGGACGAGTTAAACTATTATTTTCAGTTTGAGGAATGAAACTAATAATAATTGTGATCTTTCTCGTTCTTCCCATAGTGACGAAACCAGGCCGCTGTCCAAACGTGTCGAACAGCACCAGGTGCGAGCAGGAATACGCGGATTGCTCTGGGGAAATGAAGTGCTGCAACAATGGCTGCGGCACTTCCTGTCTAGAACCAGCAGCCATGGAAGTTTCCACTACACCGAGACCATGGATTACCTCGCCACCGCCTGGAGCAGAACCAGCTTCGCTCGAGAAGCCAAAGGAGCCAAAGGTCAGCGCTCAGGAGGGTAGCTATGTAACGTTGCAGTGCGTAGCCCTGGGAAATCCGAAACCAACCATCACGTGGAGGAAGGGCACGGCATTGGTGAGATTCTTAAATCTTCATGAATATTTCATCGAATTATAAATCCATAATTATCCCAATAGTAGAATACGGTATAATAATAACGAAGATTAATCACACCAGATTGCAGCTTCGGAAAGCAGACGTCGCATCCTGCTCGATGGTTCTCTTCAAATTATTAATTTAGATCGATACGACGGTGGGACTTATGTCTGCACTGCTGACAATGGTTTGGGACCACCGGTAAGAGTGGAATACGAATTGGTGATCACAGGTACGTACCATACGTCAACCACTGACAAAGAGTACTGTCTTGTTACGTTGCAAGGTGTTTGATGGAAGTGTTTTACATTGCACACTGTAGTCGATCTCTCAGTAGCACCTAGCTAACCCAGTTCAATATTCTAGTTCCATACACGATGTTAGACACGTTTATAATCACTTGGTCCATCCAAATAACTCGATGAAGGTGTTCACGTTTCTGTCTTCTGCACGTTGTTTTCTCTCACGCTTTGCACAGAACCGACAGATCTAGCCGCAGCCATTTTGGGAGAACCTAACACTCACGTGATAGTTTCCATGAACTCTCCCATATCTCTGCACTGCTACGCATGGGGTTGGCCCAGACCTTTCGTCACCTGGTGGCGAGGCGATCGCATGTTGCCGCTCTCTTCGGACATTTACGAACAGGATTCCGAATACACACTACTGATACGAACCGTCACGCTACCCATTCTGGGCGAGTACACCTGCCAAGCTTTCAACGCCATCGGCAAAGCCGCGTCTTGGTCGGTGACATTGCAAGCTGTCGGTCCGGTGTACAATATCAAGCCCGAGTACGACGAGTACATGAAGTACCTCGTTGAGGCGCCTAGAAAACCGGAGAAACCCCGGTACCCCCATAAACCCAACAGAACGCATGCCTCTGACTATCACACTTACGGACCTGGACACCCGACTAGACAATCTCACGTTACCACTCCCAGTCCCATTGGATTTACCACCAGTGCAGAGTTTGGTGCATCGTTTAGAGGTGAGTGGGTGACGCACTGTGATTTTTCGATTTTTCCGATTGCACTGTAAAAAAGTGGATGTTGATACTGGGATCAATGTCTGTTTCTCAAAGTGACGGTGCAATTGGATTTCTTTTTTCTTCTTTTCACTCTTGCTTTCGCCATTGCGGATTCTTTGGTACGCTTTCACTTGTTTGGCTATGCTGAATTTCGTTTTGCTTGCATGCTAAATATTAATTGGTAACAGAAATCGATCATGAGGTGAGTCCATGTGCATATTTCCAATTTATCGACGCAATTTGGTTTTTATATTTCTTTTTTCTCTTTATTTAATTATCTCGGCTTCGTTTCGAAACGTTTTATTATAATATCGGCTATTTGACAGTGCCCGTCACAACCAACATAACGTTAGGACAGAATCAGTTCCCCGAGGGAAGCGATATTAGCATCCCTTGCCACGTAGACGGTTATCCGGTTCCTCGAATATATTGGTACAAAGAAAACGATTTGATTCAGCCGAACAATCGAATACAAATCACCGGTATGTTTGCTTTATGGAAACGAGTTATCAAATTTGACAAACGAAGGGTTATTTCACCAACTTCTCGAATCTGTTTGCAGAAGTGAACAGACTCGTGATTGGCAACGCGAATCGAGAAGATTCTGGCAGATATCGCTGCGAAGCGAAGAACGACTACTCGATGTCTTCCTCTGTAGTGACCATAGAAGTCGCAGGTACACTTTTACACTTTCTTCATCACAATAAATTAAGAATTACGACTTATTCGTTAACATCAGATTTATCGGATTCGTAAATTAAGGGCTAATTGCAATTAAATTAAAAATAAATTGCCCAATTGGAAAGAAAGTTCGTATTTTTCCAGGAATCTTTATTCATCCGAATTGCGTGGACAATTCGTTCTTCGCGAAGTGCGATCTGATCGTGGAGGCGAAATACTGCATGCACAAGTACTACGCGAAGTTCTGCTGCCGATCCTGCACCAAGGCCGGCCAGCTACCCCCCTGAGGTTCTCACCTGGCCAATTCGAAGAGGAGGCGCAGGTGCATCATGAAGAGCCTCGTCTAAGAACACTTGGTTGCTTCCGGTGAGCCCGACGAGCATGATAAAGAGCAATTACGATCGTGCGTGTTTTAATTAGCTCTTAATCTATCGAGGGTTGAAAAGGGAAAAACAATATATATATAAACGAAGGAAACGACGACGAGGCCGCGTGATGATTCGATTCGAACACTCGTCTGTCTCGAGCGTGTGTGCCGCATAAACGTGACGTTAATTCACTGCCAAAGCCTTAGAACGTCTATACATAGATACCTTTAATATATAATTAAGCAACAGCGAGACATTCAACGTCGTCAACGTTGTCGTTTATGTATGTATATACGATCTGACGCTGAATCCTAGTCGGTCGAAGCCATATCAGGACAGGAATGATCGCTGTCCTCCGGGGAACGAGAGAAAGCGTCTCGATCGGTTCATCGATCGGTACTACTTGCTTTTCTTTTCCTTTTCCTTTCCGTTCCGTTCGCGTTCGAGTTCGAGTTGGTGGACACCCACGAAGGTACTCTGGAATCATGCGATAAGATATGCGAATTCGAAGCTGGAATAGTTGGTCTATATATCGTTCAACCGAAACGCACGTCTGTGAATTATGTGAATTATTCGAAAGATTTATCGATCCAAATTTCTGAACGATTTACTTCCAAAAAACACAAAGCGTCGTTCTTTCAAACGTCTCTCGAGCATCCGCTGAATTTTGGTGAAAGATTTAAGAGTCGGTGGAAAATGTTGGAACAAAATTCTCGATACTATGCAGAGAGAAAATCGCACGATTTCTAAACACGTCGCAGCAATGGATCCGCGAAACAGACATGTCAGGGGATCAAAAGCAGTCGCGATATCCCCTTTCTTTTCTTTCTCATCGAGCACGTCGCGTTGCGTGATCGAGTAAAACGAAAGAGGAAAGGCGATAGAGAATGGGGGGATGGGAACTTGTACCTATTTGTATGAAGCATATACACACGTTACGTTGTACAATATAAATAGTTTATTACGCTGTACGCCATTTATATACTCTATGATACTGTTATTACTTATTCCTTATCGATATTCCGATATATTGCCATAGCACGAATTAGTCCATTATCGAATGACATTTAACGATATCGTAGCGAACGATTGATGAGAATCACGAAGGTGCTGCGTCGTGAGATGGAAAATATTCACTCGCGAGATGGAAAAACGAAAGGAAAATTTTCTTTTTAAACGAGTCGAACATTTCCGACGTTTCCTTGTCGATCTTCCTTTTGGAAATTATTCCAAACATCTCAGATACGTGATTGGGATTTTAAGGAGATCGCGAAAATTCTAATAGATCAAACGGTTTCTGTCATACGTTTTCATTTGCAAAGCTTGTTAAGAAAGCATTCGTCGAGTTAATTGTTAAAGGTACATACGACAACGTACAAGCATTATTCAGTCACGATACGCACCTTCTTTCACCATATTAACGTGTTGCATTTATATATTTGTTCCTGAACATTTTAATCGTAATGTTAACTACACACTGTTACTATGTATACTGTATCATCTATCGTGAATCCTTGGCGTTCGAAAATAACAGCATAAGCTACGACAACTCGGAAACTTCGTAGAGAATATTCCAAAGCCACGCAATTGTCGAAATTTTCCTCTTGAATAATGGAAGCTTCCAATTGTTAGGATCTTAGATACAAATCTGTCTGAGTAATTTTCATTTTTATTGTCAACCGTATTAATACTGTATTTCAATTAATGCGATCGTACCTAAGTAAGGGCTTATGCTGTTAATCTCGAAACGACAGGAAAATATCAGTAGCTCGTAGCGTATCGAAATTCCGAAGGGAAAGGTACCAAAAGCATTTATAATTATATATATTATATATATACATATACTGTAAGCATAAGTTTTACTCGATGATGGAAAGAGAATCCACGGAACCGTAGGAAAAGACATTCTTCTTTCGTCTGATCGTTTCAGTCACAGTAAATTACAGTGCCTTATTAGGAGCCCTTCGAAAGTGTCGGGGAAGGAGTGCTAAATAGAACTCTACATACAGAATACTGTTAGTGTAAATACAAAACGTAGCGTACGCGAAAGCAGAACGAATTGTCTCGGGATGTTCAATCAGAAATCTGCCGATAGTTACTAAAATGGTGTTAGATCGATCGCGCCGGTTGTATCGAGAAGAATTCCTCCGATTTTGCGTTTCCTTGTCGAATAATGACTCTTTGCCTGTATTTTCCCTAGATGTAAATTATGCGCGTAGAATCTAGACGAAATTTCGGAAATCGTGACAATCAACGGTGTTGCTTTAAGTAAAAAGGAAAGGAAAACGCGTAGCAAGATCCTCGCGCAGGACGCGTTTCTAAAACGCTGATTCGTTTAACGGGAATAGTTGCACGCTCTGTTTCATCGTTTCGTTGATTTTCAAACCCGGAGGAATCGTAGGTGAAACGAAAGAAAGAAGAAAGGAAAGATATTGAGTACTCTTCTCCTCCGTACTCTTTTTAGACGTGACCAAACTAGACATGACATGATTGTAATAACGTAGCAAACACGGTTTATTTAGCGAATGTATAAATAGTCCTCGTAGTTTAACGGGCATAGATGTATCCTATTGATCGCATATCGGTGAAAAAAAAGGAAAAAAAAAATGGAAAAGATGAAGAAGAAGAAGAAGGAGTGACGTAGTAAAAGGGTGTGTCGTCTTTGTTAAGAGAAACGACGTGGAGTCGAAGGGAAGGAGCAAAGGGTTTGCATATAGGTACGTCAGTGAACGCAGTCGTTTCGGTAGATTTTCTCTATTCTATAGTAAATAATTTATATTTCTACCGTGTGATTTTAAGTCTGTACAATGGCCACGCATTCACTTACTCGTTACACACTAGAGATGTATATAATTCCCTCGATATTACGTACTATACTCGTTTAATCGACCTATCTTATCGGCCACTGGAAACTCCTTGTAGAGACTTTGTAGAATTCGTAGGAACGATCGTGATCGTTGATTCGTCGATCCTCAGCCGACATTTTCTCTAACGATAGTCTCGATACTAATATTACCCTATAGAGATGTTTAGAATGGCTATGATAGTTGTAACAATGTTGTAATTAGACCGAGTTGATCGGAAGAGCGTTGATTTCGTGCGATAATTAATTTTAGTTGATTAAGGTTTCTCTATCGATAATTTCGAAATTTATTTGCTTCTTCTCGTCCTACGGTTTCGAATAGTAACATGGGACATTGAGTTTCGCTTGGTTTCCGTAGGATAAAGCTGAGCAAAAGTATGGAACGTACCTCGCGTAGAATCGACAGAAATTCTTCCCAAATTTTTGTTGCAACCTTTTCACGTAGATTAAAGAGAGAGAGATTGTCAACGAGGCAAACGACGTTTGCGATCGTTACTACGAATACACCGACGATGGATTTAAGCGTAATCGCGTGCAAAGGAAAACAAAATTTGCCAAAAAGGAGAAAAGAAAAAAAAAAAGAGAAAAACAGTAAATTAATCAAAAAGTTCGTGTCTCCAGTGTATTATCTATACATGCATATAGCTCATCGCGACAGTGCTAAAGATTTTAGTGAGTGTATTTGTAACTGTAAGTTATACCCTAGGTAACGATTAATATAATATAAATATATAATTATAAAATAAAGGTAGTCGTAAAGGAATGCCACTATACAAACATTGTATGGACAATAATAATATATAAGATCCTTAAATATATGGTTAAACGATCAGCATGATTATTTTTCTCATCGAGTAGTTTTCTTTCTCTCTTTGTCGATTAAGGCATATTCATTTCAACGTTATTTTATTGCATTTCAATTCTCGCTTAACAATCAGGTATCGTTAACTACTATATTGTGTTGATTACGGATTAACCTATTAACCTATCAATTATATTACGAACGAACTATTTTCCATTTCAACCATTTCTTCAGTAATATTCGGGTCTCAAACGTTCGCTTTGCACAGAATTTCGCATAAGATAACGCTTGTGCTGTTCCTCGATCACCACAGCCCTCTCGATCCTCTCTCTCGCAGTTCTCTCGATCCTCGCAAACAATTCCGTGTGCACGGCGACGCATTTGCGAAAATCCTTGCGATCCAAACGATACACTTCGCACACCTCGATTGCTATGACGCTTGCGACCCTCCTCTGGTCGGGAACCAAAAGCGCCACTTCCCCGAAATGAGCACCGTCATCCAGGTGACAAATCTGAGAACCATTCAAACTCGCTTTGACATTACATTTCTTCTTTCTAAATTGAGATCCAGATACTCCAAATATTTATTATCCTTTTAATCAATATTTTAAACGGACTGAAGGAAATGGGTAAAGTTAAACGAAAAATACACCCGGAAAAATTGGTCCGAACAAATCGACGTTATGTCTAGAGATAGGAGGGAGTCTACCCTTTAAAATGCATTTCGTTTCAAGTCGATATCTCAATCCGTTTCGGAGATACAACAGTTTGAAGTGACACGTCCAAATTCGGGGAAACCATGAATGATCGAAAATCCCGGCAGCGGTGTGACCTACTTATTCCCCGTACGCGCGTAGTAGAAAGCTAGAAACTGGGTCATCCGCGACCAGCGCAAGTGAGACGGGTCAGGGAAGGCGCGCGCGAGCGAGAGACCCGAGCATAGGAGAAGGACAGCGATAGCGAACCGCGCCAAATGAGCGTTCGCTTTGAACGAACGTATCTCGAGAACGAAAAGTCACAGGAAAATAAATCAAACGGTATTTTAAAGGGCAGGATTCCAGCTTTCCGATGCGCGAAGAAAACGGAAAATTCGAATATGGGAAATATTTTTATTCGAACCGCAAAGTAAGGAAACAAAATCTAGGTGCATTGACTGGTGTATAGTACGGAAAATTAATAATTTTCGTTAATAATACACGCAATTGGAGTAGCAAACGAAGAAAGATCAATGTACGAAATAATTCCTATCGATAGGGATTAAAGTGAGAGTCAGAAGAGGGGTAAAATTTTTGTAGACCTTTCAAGATTCTCTTCTGTCATAAATCTCAAAAATAGGTTTTTAACATGTCGAAATAATACCTCTTTCCCGGTGGGTGTCAGGACAGCCACGGTCCCAGCAGATAGAAAAAACATGCAATCGCCATGGGCTCCAGCCTTCACGATCACGTCGTTCGGCAGAAAGAGCTCGAACTTCAAATTCTTCACGATGGATTGCAAGGTAGATTTAGGCAAAGCCTTGAATATCGATACGTTCTCGACTAATCGATGACTCGATTGGAAAGCAATCTCTTGACGCAGCTTTTCTGAATCACGACGACGCGTTGGTCAAGGAATCATGGCAACGAATCGCGAAATCGAAGCCCTTGTTACCTGATAAATTCCTCAAAATAGACTTCTCGCGAAAATAACTGTTTCTGAAGCGGTAGTAGTAATAAGCAACGAGACGGATCCTCATGTGCTTTGGCAACTGCTTCTGCCTCGTGTAGGCGCTCAGTTGGTTTATTATCTCTTGGAACTTCGCCTTGGACGCCTTTCTTCCCGCTTTTATCTGAATGAGCATCACTGAAACGGAATTCGAGCATGGAAAATACAGTCCTTGAGGAGATAAGAAGTTATAAAATGCTCGGAGAGCATTTCAACTGGAAGATCTGGTAAAGACTTGCCTGCGATGTAGCTCTCGAGTGCTCTGCCAATGATCACAAGAACGCTGCTCAGTATAATATGTCCCTCTGTTCTTGGCACGTAGTCACCGTAACCACTCGCTGCCAATTTTTCTACCACGATGAAGAGCGCGTACTGGAACCTTATTGCTATCTGACCCTTGTTCAGCCCTGTCATCCAACACTCGGGACAGTCCTAAGAATTGGAACGTTCGTTGAGCTCAAGCATAGTTTGAAGAATACAATGATGCAATATTATATTTCGCACGAAGGAATCACTAACACCCCAAGTCTTTCACCTCATGCCAATACAAATTGAAATAGGATAATGAGGAAATAATTTTGGAATAAAATTTCGTGTCAGTTCCACTGTCAACAGGGTTAATAATACACAGGGAACCCTCTCTCGTTAAAATTACTTACCTTGGGCGAAGTGTTAGTGAAATGCAGAACCAAGACTTGCATGGAATAACACAGACACGCTGCCCAATATATCATGTAAAATCCAATGAGGAAGATGGTCAACATTTCGTAGTAGAAATGCATGATTTCGAAATGCTGAAATATGGAATACATCTTTAACGTCCATATCTCGTTGATACGGAGACTCGATGTATGTATATCTCCCAATTTATTTCAAGTGATCTTTTCAATTTCGCTGGAGTCTTCAAAGAGGTTACCGTGAACAGTTCGAAGATTTGCAAATTCACGTAGCTATAGCGTGCCAGCTTCAGGCAGGGTAAGAGATTGATCAGGACTATTAAATAATGGGAATCTTCGCCGGGAACCCGCCGCCAGGGTAAAGTTATGTGATCCCATGGCAAGGAGGAGAGGATGTCGAGTATGAGATAGGATTTCAAGTAACGTCTGCGAAAATAAAAGTTTTAACAAAACTTTACCAGAAGTCATTTCGATAATTAAACACGACTGACGTAAAATACAGGAATAAAGTACATGAATATCTTCAAGGGACTCAGTATAACACGCTGTTGCGTCTTATCGTAATATCCAGTGAAAAAATTGCCGATAATGTCGAACCAGCAGAAGGTATAAATCAGGATATTCACTTCGTCGAGTAGGACATCGTCGTGACTCATCACAACGAAGCAAACTGAAAATGGAATAGTCAGGAAGGATACCAGGTACACCACCGTCATTAACAGGTCCCATAGAAACCTGAAACAATTCTTTAAATGAATTCGGCTCGAGTTCGATCGCCTTTCAAAAATAATCGCGTTTATTTTTCTTCTCTTTCTGATCTCTAAAATCATAGTTCTGTACCTCCAAGTGCTGAAGGGGTGAATGACCCACCAGTGTTCCGACGAGGCGTGCCTCCTTCTCTCGGCAAATACACGTGACTTGCTGTCAAAGTACATTTTTGCCCTCGGCGTGTTCTCGTTGATTTGGAGCATGTACATCCACGATTCTTTACACGTAATATCGTTCATGTTTATTCTGGAACCGTGTGGATCCAATTTGCTATGTTCCAGTCCACACGTGTGCTCCTTCATGTTGGAATTCCTCTCTTCGCTATTCTCTGCCTTTAATTTCGTTATTAACGTGCAATGAACGAACAGAGCTTGAAATTTGAAATATAGATGTAGGATCGGGGTGGGTGGATTGGCTAAAATAGTGTTGTTTTACTTCTCAATGGAATAAAATAAGCTTATACGTAGATTGACGGCTATGAAGCAAGAGGTATTCGCTATGGGCACGTTCGACTTTGACTTCTTACCGACATACTCTTAGACACTAGCTTAAGAACTCTTAAAGACTGTTGAAAGATTGGAGACTGTAGACTGGCTGCCCGCGCCCTTGCACCCTTATTTAAAGCATTCATTCTATCCTTTTCATCCCTAAACTTTCACTCGACTCTACCATAAACATTCTTTGCAGTCAATCCTCTTGCACACGGTCACTTTCATTCTAGGCCCAAACACACTTGACATTCTTTCAGGGCCGTACTTATTCCAATCCCACATAGGGATTAGGTTAATAATCATTTCTAAATGGGTGCAGCATAATATAACGTGACTCCAATGCGTGTTATTCGTCACCTGAATTTATTTTCTTCTACTTTCTCCAGAAAATGGAAGGTTTGAAGGAATCCTCGCGGTTGTTGAATCTACAAGCGAAATTCGTGGCTGAAAATTGACAGGGAACGAATGAAGGCTCGTGACGAAATAGTGAACTGTCGTTTATTAAAAAACTGCCGACGATAAAAAATATACCCAATCCTGTGCCGCCGTTAGAATACGGCCAGCTCTATGAACTAAAGTACATGTATACAAACGAGTGCACGCTATCGTTTACCGTGTGCATATCCGCGATGTTCCATCAACGATTCGGCTTCCTCCGATTTCTGCAACGCGAACATAACCTTGTGCGTGTTGTCGATCGCTCGGATCGATTCTCCATGATCGACGAGAACCGAGCTTTTGAATGAGAAGAAGCATCGATATACAACCAGAGACATATACCGACAATCGTGTGTTCTAATTGAGAAAAATATAAATCAAACGTGTTCCATCGGCCCTCGTTTAACCCTCCGATCGGTTTATCGATTTATCGTTATATTTAATGCACTTCGAAGCTCTTGAGCACAGTTCTCTCTCCGAAAACGTCATCCTACGCGTATGTATATCGAAATATCTAACCGTATTATAAACGACTATAAACGTTTAAAATCAGAAATATTTCGTGCAAGATTTAACCCTTTGCACTCGACGATTTTCTCGCCAAAGAAGGATAGGAGTTCAAAGAATCTCTGTTATCAGGTTGACGATATTTCTCTGCGCAGGAGTAAAAAATCGCGTGATAATTAACGCGTAGAATTATTCGATTTCGATACCTCGCACAACGTTACGTTATCCGAAATTTGACATACTCGTGAATATCGTGCTTGGAAATTTGATCGAATGACGATCGAAGTGCGACTCTCGAGCGCAAAGGGTTAAGCTTCTTAATTCTCGTATTATACGATACATCTGAACAGACATATGGATTATCGAAATATTTGAATCCTCCAGAGAATATTCTACCAAATTTTATAGTAGCTATTGGTTATAAAAATTGTTGGAAATCAATGTCTAAAGTTTATACATTTACCGAGGAAAGTCAAGAAATAAACGAATAATTTTATTATTTTATTTCTTAATTTTCGATCGGTAAACATACGTTCTCTCTAAAATATCGATCTTCGGAACACTGTAACTGTATGGTATCTTAGACATCTAAAATACATAGGAACCACTCTTAGTTACTTTAAACCCTCGCAATGTATACAATTTAAATCTCCGCGAATCTAGTATCGTGTATTTAGACTTAGAAACGTGAACACTCGTTACGTTATAACGAATACTAACAACGTTCATTTCCTCGCGAATTTTCGCTTCATATATCTCTGACGAACAACGAACGTTCGTCCGTTCGAATGTTATACAGTCGGGAAAGAAAATAAGACACGAACAAATCGCATTTGACGAATCGTTGCTGATTTTCCACCTCTCGGAGGGTCAAGAGGAGTCCCTAGAAAAATCGTGGTTCGTTAAAAAAATAACAGCTAGCCAGTTAATTTAACTTCAACTATCAGTCTTCCCGAATATTCCTGTTTGTCGTTTCATATACTCCCTAGATTTAAAAAATACGACGCTCAGGCGCGTGTTTCCTTTAAAGGTTTGCGTCGCGGGTACAGTAAAATTCATATCGACGCACGATCGTGGAAAAATCGGCGCGATCGAATCGATCGACAAAATCGAGTCAACGTTAGATTAACGAAGACTCGAAAATGCGGGCGAGATCTCGAAAATATTTTTTCCACTGCAAGATATCGAGATGACGAGATGCTTTGAAAAATTTTCAATCGCATCTGCACGAATCTGCTCGTCTTGAATCGAGATCGTGATATTTTCGCAGCCTCGCCTATGTTTAATAAATATATTCGCGCGAACGACGTCGATTGATCCAAGATCGGAATTTTCGTAGCTACAAAATGGCGTCGCTGCCCGAAGTAGATATTTCCCTCCGTCGATTTACATGATCGACGATTTACACGAAATCTCTCGTGTTTTTCGTCTTTACGTCTACTAGTAGGTACAAACATCGAGTCGTATATATGTAACAATCACTCTGACGAGGCCTGGATATTGTTCTCGTCGTGTCTTATATATTATTGTCCGAAAAGCTCGCGCCGATTTTGAAGGAAAATCGAAACGCGGGAGATTTTAATTTTGGTATACGTTTACTAAATTGTACAGATGCTATTTTATTCTACGACCTCTCTCCATCTTTCAGGCAACTTGAAAATTCCGCCATCCCAGAATTATTCAGATTTTTCAGCGAAAAACTTGCGAATTAAGGGAATTTTGTAATAATGGAAATGGATGGAAATCGGGGGGCGCAGAATTGTACCTATATAATTTGCTATAAATTTGTAGTCAAATTTAAATCTCCCGCGTTTCGATTTTTCTTCGAAATCGGCACGAGCTTCCCGGACAACCCAATATTCGGTATACGTATAAATAACAGTGATCGCTTGCTTGGTCTTCAAACCGATCTTCGCCTGTTCGACTTTCATAAAACGAGATTATTTTCTCCCTCGTGAGTATTGCTTTGATCTCGGAATATTCTGATAACATTTCGCCGTGATGTTGTAGTCTGGGTATTAACACATCGTCGATGGGAAACGCGATGATTCCGCTTTTTTAAATATTGAACACGCGAAACTCGAATTGGCATTTCTCATCTGTCAAACATCGAAGATAACCGCGGATCGACGACCTTGTATTCTTCAAAGGTCGAAAACGGCAGATGATAGTTCGCACCTTGCTCGCGAATACCAATTTCTGGTAAAAGATTTCGTCGAGCAGAACAAGTTTACATCGCTTTGTGTAAGTGTATGCAAATCTCACGTATTTTTGGAAAATATGCGGGAACCATGGCTTCACGCATTTCACAGTATACCATCGAGAATGTGTTAATTTAAAGCAACGCGTGTGCCAATTGTCGTATTAACTTCGTGTTCGGAATATTCTGTCAAGGAATCTAAAGGTCTAAAGAATTCGATACGAATCGATTCCTCCGTTTAATAAATTTGGAAATAATCGAACTAAAGAATAGTTATCTAGAAGAATTGGTAGATCTAGTGTCATAACTCCCAAGAAAAGGATAGTATCATATCCTGAAATCAAAGCAATTCTCCAAGCAACAATGTCAGTGTCTAAATACCGACTTAACCACTATGTTACAACTAGTCTTCGATGCCAGTCACTCTCACGGTGACATAAATTCGAATCCGTTGAAAATTCACGGTGGGAATGGTACGTGGAACGATATGAAATATACGAAATCGTTAGAAAATCGTCTACAAACGATCGGATACCCTCGTAACACCCTACGTCTATGCGTAATATTAACACGAGCCAAGCATCCGCACTTGAACTCCAAGATCACCTCCTCTTCGAAATACGTCTTGAAGAATCGACGAACGTGCACGAACGAGTCCTCTTGAAAACACAGTCTCCGTGTCGGTGCAGCTCGAATCGACCTTAAAATTCCGTCGAAATTTCCGCGGCAAGTTATCCCTCGTATCCTCATCCACGGGTACGTGATTGCGCGATGCTGTCTCCGTTCCGAGTGGATCCTCTTTACACGTCGATGCCGAGCAGCTCCCTGTTGTCCGCCCCCGAGAATCGACGGCGCAAACTGCGACGACGGAACTCCTTCCATCAGACGGATGCGCGTTTCATGAGGAAGCTCGAGCTCGAAGGGGGCCTGTAGCCTCGGTAACCCTGGTCCAGAAGCTCGGAATTCGGGGCACCGAGGCAGGTGCACGAGCACACGCTCACGCAGTCATCGGAGTCATGGACTATGGGCACGTGGCTGGCCAGAAGCTTCCCGTTCACCACCTCGCCGTCCAATGCCAACACGGGATGAGACACTGGCTGGAGCTCGTTGTCATCGCGACGCGCGTCGCCGATGTTTCTGTTCGGTGAGTGACAGTGATTGACAGTTATTTCGAGTATTTATACCAGGGTGGTGTGTCAGTGGAGCGTTTTGTGTTTCATTTTCTACACAGGAATGATTATAGAATGATTGTTATTTGGGAAAGGCTGTTTTAGTTGGCAGAGAATTGCTATGTTTGTTCCGTGTAAAAATTTTAGGGTGGAAGTACAGGCGTTACTACAGCTTTATATGATGTCTGTTGACAGGTGGAGAGTGTATTCGGTTGGAGCAGACCTTCGACATGGTCTACACTTACAGCAGGGAGAGAATTGCAGTGACGAGGAGTGAAAGAGTATCATAGTGCAGTCTTCGGGATTCAGAGACGAGTACTTACATGGTCATAAAGCGGAGTACGAGTAAGTTGATGCTGGCAGCGACGACGGCCAGACCGAATAGGATGAAGACTAAGCTTAAGGCCACGTATCCAGGTTTGTTGGAAAGTGCATGATCGTTCTGCAAGATTACCATTACAGGTCACGTGAGCTATGACAACCAATGTAAATAACCCAGCTGTGGAACTAGATCCGAGTATTAACCCTTTGCACTCGACGATTTTTTGGCTATAAAGAAGAGTAGGAGTTTAAAGATTTTCTGCTATAAAGCTGACGATATTTGTTTAAGCAGTAAATAAGAAATCGTATAATAATTAACACGTAGAATTATTTGATTTCGATACCTCGCACACTGTTACATTCTCTTACATTTGACATATTAATGAACATCGATCTTCGAAATTTTATCAAACGGCGACTGAAGGGCACCTTTCGAGTGCAAAGGGTTAATTTTGAGCAGAGAAAATTCTGCTTAATCTGACAATTAATTCACTCCATCAAAGGTGGATTTATTAAATTCGGGAGAACATGAGGATGTTATAGTACTGGGATCCAAAGGAAAATTTAAATTTAGGAAATTTCGATGATTTGTTTCTCGATAGATCAATTCTAACGAAATTTAAAGTTCGTTCATGGATATTCACCTGCAGAGCGACGTAATCGCCGAAGCCAATGGTGGTGAGCGTGACGAAGCAGTAGTAGAAGCTGTCAAAGTAGCTCCATCCCTCGTAACGCGAGAACACGGCAGCTCCAGTCGTGATAATGATGCTGGAGAGCAAACCCGTCGCGAGCATCAGATTCATCTCTGTTGCTTCGGTTTTCTTGCACCTCAAATAGGTTTTCGCCCGCTTGATCACTATGGACGCGAACTTGTTCAAGCGTTCACCGATACTCTGAAACATCACCAGACCCAGAGGAATGCCCACCATGGCGTAGCCCATGCAGAACGCTTTGCCTCCTATGGTGACTGGCGTCGAGTGTCCGTACCCTCGAAACGTTGACGAAAATCGTTAGACAGAACGTGCAGTGGAATAAATATTCGGAGAAAAATTTTTCACGTGCTCGGAAATATCCCGAATTAAATGTACGGTGTAAATTCGGGGAAAATAGGGAATATACAATATAGGGAATAAATGTCTGTGGAAATTTAAGGAAAATTGTATATTCGGTTTCAATCGCACGTATGACAGATTTGCAATTTTTCTATTCAATTTTTCTCGAGGAATTGGGAGATTGCTTTATAAATATACGCGCGTTAAAGGTACCAAGGTCGCAACGAGATATCGATTACGTATGATATATATTTAATTTCCTGATGGGATTAATTTCCAAAGTTTCACGCTGTTGGAAGTATCGCTTACCTATCATAGCGAGTACAAGGGTGGCGAAATAAAAGGCACCAGCGAATTTCCACTGAGGACCCGCTTTGTGCGGCTTGTTTTCTATTATAACTATCTCCAACATCCTGTAGTCCTCTTGCGTGATGTTGTACTTCTTCATCATGTTCCGACGAACCTCTAAAATCATCATGAATTAATGTATGTCTACAAAAATTCTTCGTGTTAATTAATTTCCAACGTGCTACTAATTATCCTTATTATAGCGAACATTAGATTATAATTTTTTACTACCCTTGTTTATATATTTATTTATTACTTACATGCAAGTTGGGAGTTTAAATATTCATTATTCTTAATAACGCGGTAAAATATTCATAATATGAAAATAGCAACCCCCATCCATCACACCCTAAGTCCACCCACTCTATTTAAGTTTGACTCTTAGCATTTCATTACGCTTGACCCCAATCACACGTTCAAACACTCGTGTACAGAAATACCAAACTCGTTCGACACTCTATTATCACCCATCCTACACCTACACTCGCTTCCCTGCCAATCATGCAATCGTCGAATATTCACACTCGAAAATAACTCTTCCTCTTCCAGTTCCTATCAGAATCCACGCGTTTACCTACCACACGCGTACTAGCTTAAACGTTTACAGCAAATTTCTATCTTATCCCCGATCTTCGTAATCCTCATGCATCATTCTCAACGAGCAACTAAAACACCCTATATCCATCCATCTCCCAAACGCGCTTTCAAACATTCTCTCAGGAATACCACACTCATACTCATACAGGGTGGAACACTTAACGCCACCATCGTGATAAATCTCTAATCGTTCAATTATCCAAAAAGAGGGTAGAAATTATTTCCCAGTAAATGATAGGATCTAACAAAACAACGAGAGAGTTAACCCATAAACGAACATTATCGAGGTAGCCACGTCACTCTGTATACTAATCGTATTCTAATCTATGTTCGTTTTCGATGTTGCAGTTACGATCACACGCTGAACACACGGATTACCCACCCGAGAGGAACTCCCAGCGTTTCCTCTCCGTGTCCGACTCCATCACGTCGAACAGCGCCGCGCCGACCAGCAGGTACGTGAACGTGCACACCACTAGCGCCAGGGTCCTAACATTCTGCCTCTTCATCTTCGCACAGTTCGTGAACCGCGAGCACCAAGCCGCACACCTCGCAGGGATCCCTCAGGTTTCGCTTTCCTACGCGCTCGTCCGCACGAACACGCGCGGCGCGTGGTTCATGCTGGTCGCGGCTCGAGAGGAACGACTGACAAAGTTTCCGTACGCGCGGCGCTATCGATCCTGCGGCCTCATGTCACGGGACACGCTCGAGGAGGTAAAACGTCGCGACGCGTGCACGATACGCGAAGGCCAGCACCTACGGCAACTCCACGCTCCACGCGACGACGCTCCACTAGGTGCCAGTATTGATCGCGTCCTCGAGCGCCGCGGGTAGCTCCATGGAAACGCGGCGTCGCTGCCAAGGGGTTGGCTATCGGTAAGAACGCTCTTGCAGTGGAACGAGTCGGTCACTGGTCAGACCGAAGGGTGGTATTCGTTGGATTGACTGGGTAGACGGAATTGACGAACGGTAATGTAGATAGAACGGGATGGGAAGAGAAGATTGTAGGTATATGACGAGAATCGTGGATTTTTGATAGTTTCGGTGAATTATTTTGAGTCACAGAGTTAAGAGCGAATTGGTAAATTCAGGTGGACTGATTTGTACATTTAGGTGATTAATACTAGATGTTGGTGTATATAGACACTAGGTGTATATTTGTATACATATTTCTAGGGACACCTGTTAAATTGACAGGTAAAGGAAACCTTAACGATTAGTTTAATTTAAAAACAATTATATATTATATTAACAGTCTTAGTATAAGTTAATTAAATCTGTTACCATGGTATAATTGGAGCAATCCTTCAGTCAAATTGACAAGTTCCGTAAATCTAGTGTTAAAGTAGGAGTGAGATTGCGAATCATTGATGTAAATTAGAGTTTCTTAATTGTTCGATTTAAATACTATAATTGAAATATTTTCTATGAGAACGTATGAAGGAATATTTATTATACGAATTCGGGTTACCATGGTGGGTCACGTCACACGTTTGTTAGTGTTCATTGATAAGACAGGGACCTGTTGATAATTGAAATTGTTATGATAAGTGATATGTATTTCATTGGAAATAGGAATAGAATAGGCAGACAGGGAGAGGAACGATAATTAGTTGAACTAATTTAATCAAATTGTTTGATTAGGATTAATAATGAGACAGACCATTGTTTATATGACCGTGTAGAAATAAGAGATATACATCTAGGGACTTCTTAGAAAATTATTAAGTAGACACAGTCTGCACCTGGTCAGGCATATTTGAGTAGAAACGCATGGGCAATGGTGAGCCAGTACTACTTAAAAAGTCTAGCCAACGGCGGGTCTATGATAGTAGAAATGTATGACCAACTGTTGACCCATGTTACTCAAAATGTCAGGTCAATGGCTGACCTATGTAACTTATATCGTGCATGACCGACGCTATTTAAATTATTTCTGTCCAACTGCGAGCCTATTCTACTTAAATTACGCCTGACAAAGCGGTGGCCTATACTATTTAAACCACATCTGATCAATCGCGAACCTATACTACTGAATCGTCACCCTTCGTTCAAAGTGTGATAACTCGACGACAAAAATTCGTACATTGACTTTTAAGAGTTCGTTGTAAAGAGGATTCTTCGTTCTTTAATATCCACCTAGAAAGAGAGCTAAGTCTAAGTGAGTTAGCTTCGCAGTTAAGAAGCGAACTATAAAACTCTCGTTGTCGACGAAAGCAGCAGTTGTCCAGTAGTCCAGGTCTGTCGTTGATCAGGCAGACCACTCCGAGAGTTCGCTAATGGGGTAGCAAAGGGAGACCCACGTTTCCAGCCCCCATGGATAATTCAGAAGATACTTTACCGATCAGGAGGTCTGTCGAGGGTACCCTTTGCCCGTTTGAAGAGAGCGTGCCGCTTAAAAGGGAGTTGCTACTCGATATAGAGTTTCGGTTTAACTTACCGAACTGGTTCGCGCATAATCGAGTTGCCGACACAGCCGTGTTCTAGTTTTACGACCAAGTTAAGCTTCGTCGTTGCTTATGCAATTATTTGTTGCTCATAAGCCAACATTGTTTACCTCCGAGATCATTTAACTTCCGCTTTTCTTTCCCGGACTTTTACGTCGAGAATAAATTACAAAAGTCGTAGATATTTTTATTAAATATTTTAATCCTATTTATTATATCGTTCTTCGGATAATAGTATCTTTATCTATATTCCAGGTATTCTAATCTGGTACTTTGTATATTTAATGCATAGGTCTCTCAGGTGTCTTCGCAAACTCGAATTATTTCGTACCTTTTATCATTGTAATTCTATTAGTTCTTCACTTGACAAATTCCTAAATTTTCTAACGTTAGTCGAAGATAATTCATCTTTCACTCTTTCGTTACTATTTGAACGGAATATATAATTAGGTGTAATATATAATGAAGGTGTAAATAAGTCACTATTCGCCTGTTTATTAATCCATTGCTTCCCAAATACTCAGTCGAATCTATTCAATTTGACTGGCAACGAAAAAATTCGATACCCTTCCAAAATTCACTAATTCGTAGTACAAATGTAGCATCGATGTATAATGATATTCCCCTACGGCCAATACTCATCATACAACGCACACGTCGATCCATATACACAAACAAAAATGCATATAACCTTTCTGTTAAATTGCAGTTTCTAGCAATCTATCTGATACATTGCCTCTTTATCGAAGCGTTAAGCAGAATGTCATACGTTATTCAAGCCCGACACGAAATTCCCCTGGAACCAGTCGCTGAGAAAGACAAACGCGTAGGAATGGAGAAAAAATGTACGTGCACTGCACGGAAGCGGTGACTTTGGATCTAGGTTAAAGGTGAAGGACCGTGAAAGCGTACATTTTATCGAGCACCAGGCACGATAAGAATTTCATTAAAAAAAATCAAAAAAGGGAGAAAGAAAATGGAAGTCTTCGTTAACGAGACAATTAAATGGACTTACAAAGCGTGCAAAAAAAAAAAATAAAAATAAATGGGAGAAAATATTTTTTCCACTCGAGATAGAATTCGAGTATGAAGATTCGAAATCGGAACTCATGTTCGATTCGAATCGATCCTCGATCATGATCGATCTCGAGGGGATTTCTTCGAGGCTCTCCAGCGGTGCTGGACACGTCTTGCTATGATTTTGCGTTCGTGCGTTTCGCAGTTTTATTGCGGTTACATGTCTTGAAAGACGTTTACGAGCAAGAGTTATGGTTCGAGGAGCACAGAAGGTCCGATCCTCGTGTACAGTGATAAGTAATGTTTTATATACGGGAAATCTATGTGGTTGGATAGCGAGGGAATCCAGATACAAGGGGCACGTGGACACTGTAGACTACATACACCTCGAGCAGAGGCTGGATATTTCGAAAATTTATATTCGTACCTTCTTTATTGGAAAAGCCAGCCTGTCAGAGGCTGTTGTGACAATAGAGGCTGAGAAATTTGCTTACAGGGAAAATTGAGAAAAATGAAATAAGTCTTGCGTCTGACGGTGATATTCGTGAAAATGTTCCGGGGAACAGGCACCTTGTCGCCTCTAAATCGAAATTTAGGGTATAGAATGGAAATGACAAGATAGTAACGATAAAAATAGCGAATAGGAATAACATAAAAGTTCTTTGTCTGACACGAATTGCTACGAATTGCAGTAGCGTATTCTGTAGGCTTTTCTGAGGAAGAAATCATCCAGAGATAATATTAGGATGATCTTGAATATTTTCAGGATGACAAAATAACATGTAAAATATAAAATATAAATAAAAATACAGAGGAAATCAAAATATTTTGACATACATGTAGGTATATATCGAGGAAATTTATTTTATGGAGGTTCGAGTGTAGTTATAATTTATACAATATGTATAAAGTATCAAATTTATTGTTAGTAATAAATTAAAATTGTTAATAACAAATTTCTCGAAGCATAAATTTATAATAAAAACGAAAAAATCGAGAAATTCTTGGTTACTACGGAAGAAAAGTAAGTATTTACGAAATCGGCAACGATCGTCATTTTCCGTCGATCTTCGGCCCATCGTCGACTATATAAACATCGCGCGAGCACTAACGAGTCCATTTTCAGGTTTCACCTCGGGCCGGACGGATCTTTCTCATTGGGCCTGACTGCTGATGCGGAAGAGGTGACCATCGGTCATCGGTCATCGGTCAACGGTCAAGGATCAGTGGTGAGTACTATATATTATATATTGTATATATATAATTTCATATTCTGCTTATTTATTCCATATTAATTTCTAATTTGTTTCATTTCTCTTAAATTTCCTTTAGGTTTAGATTCTTCATCGTTGGGCATTTCTGATCATCATGAGATGTATACAGCTTAGTTTCAACTTGTTATAAGATAAAGTGTATGTGTTAGAGAAGCGAGCAATAGTTGTGTGGCAGTAAAACTCCCTATACAGGTCACCCAGGAATATTTTCTCGATCTTATCGAATTAGAATCTGTTTCGACAATTCTGTTCCATGGTTTCCTCTTCAGAACTTCGAGTCTCGCGTTAGAGTTCCGATTTTCTCGCAGATCTGTGACACAATAATATAGGAATCATTTCGGAGCTCGAAATTGCGACGAAGAGACGGGTAGGTGCAGAGAAATTCATAAAATAGGAAGCAAACTTTCGAGGTATGTTTAGAACGTCGGTAGGAACGTTCGCACTATCCAAACTTCGTGTTTATCTTTCGCACTTGGTAATTTTCCTTCGACCTACGCATCGCGCGTAATGAATTTTCTCGACACTTTTGTGCTCCCTGCCGCCATTGTTTCGATCACGCGCTGTGAATCAACTTCCTGTATAATCAATCCTCTCGCAAGACTTGTACAGGTTGTAATAAAAGGAGAGGAGAAGGTAATTTTCCAAAAACTCCATCAAAGTTTCTGAAATCGACAAATTCGCCTGATATCCTACCGCAGTGGCAGAATACCTTCATTCGAATAAGAATTTATTCTTCACCCGCTCGTATGTTGTTCTTTTTACGTGGTAATTATTACTTTCGATTTATTTTCGAGTCGCTTTGTAAAGTGCAAGCTGCATCGCTGATCTGAATAACGCGATTTCCTCTCATCGCACTCTGATTAAAGATTCCTTCGTGAGAAACGATGAAAGTGAACGACTATCGATGTTCATTGGGCGAAATGCCTTTACGCTTGGTTACATGCAACAGAGAAT